GCGACGGGCTCCATACTCATGTGTTTCCAATACGAGCCTATTAACTCAAGTGGGATAGGACATTTGTTCACAACAACATACTCATGAAGTTCATGGCGACATGGTAGACTGTGGGTTGTTCGGATGGCGCAACTACAACCCATATCGCTCGGTTGCAATAGTTTCGCATTGTCCACCTCAACTTTGAGTAGTTGCAGAGCATATTTTGAGATACTTCCACGAAGCTCATTGTATATCAACGTTTTGAAAGTGTGCTCGTAAGTATTTTTACTTACTTCAAAGGAAGCCTTGATGTCATTGTGTTGTTCGACAATTTGATTGTGGACTTTTGTATACAAATCCACAAATGTGCCAGTTGAATTACGCACATCCCTTTTCATTCGTCCGTGTGCCCCCTCCACCCTATTAGAAGTGTACGTTCCAAAATGAGTATACTTATTTGTCCACACCGATACAAGTCTCTCCTTGTACGGATCCAACCATGAATTAGCTACATACTCTATAGCCGGGAGATAACCCATAAATGTTCTTTTCAAATCCTCCCAATCCTCATTGAACTCCTCTATGGTATTTCTTTCAATAAGAGCCGAAAAACTCGACTGAAATTGCTTCCATTTGGTGATGTCCTTTGGGAACAATTTCTTACAATTGGCCACTATATTCTTGTTCACATGCCACCGACACAGCAAGTGATGACTCGATGGATACACATTGGCCACTGCTTTCATTAAACCCAAATCTCGATCTGTTACAATGCAATTAGGCCGAGGACAACTGCTCATGGCCTCCTTCAAACAACGCAACGCCCATTCAAAATTTTCCGTCTTTTCGTGGTCCAAGTAGGCAAAGGCAATTGAGAACGTCTTGTTGGTACAAGTAAAACCCACAATCTCAAGAAATGGGAGTCCGTAACGATTGGTCTTGTACGTGCAATCGATGACGAATACGTACGGATACGACTGTGCCAACTTAATGCATTTCGGGTGGATCCAAAACAAGTCGGTAATCGCATTCAACTCGTTCGATCTATGGTACGAGAGGTATTCATCTTCTTTCAACTTGACGAACAATGATTGCAATTGAGATCTCCCATCCAATTCACTGAAATTTAACTTAGAGATAGTATTGTAAACTGTCTTCATACCAGTTACATTAGACGGGTCCTTTTGCTTCAATGCTCTTAGAATTGCCCTTGGTTTCACCATTGCTTTCTTCATAGTGTGAACCAAGGAAACATCCTCCTTTGATAATCTTCCGGCATAAGAGTGTCCGTGCAAGTTTTCGAATAAGTTGTGGTTGTGAATACCACAACTAACATCCAATTTCCACTCAGCCTTTTCATCATCCTTGTGTTCTCTTGTCCCCTTCAATTTAAACGGACAATTGCATTTCTTTGAACCGGTGCTCCTTTTTCCCGGTCTTTGATCATCTTCACCTGGTACCTTCTTGCCAACATAATGGCCCCCACGCTCACAACGAACAATCACATACGGTGTCCTACGTCCTCTATCCCCGTCACTCGAACCCCCAATCATTAACACCATTCCAATTCTTTTACATACTTCACGAACCCATGCCATTAAAGCTTCTTTTGTTGGGAATTTTTCTGACGTGGTAAATGAATGGGTGCAATCGATCTACACAAAAGTGTCGAAAATATAAGACAAGTAAATTTGCAACATGAACCAAATCGACACTTAAGTGTCGAAAATTACCCATATTTTCGACACTTAAGTGTCGAAAATAGAGGTCACTTTCGACACCTAAGTGTCGAATTATGATGCCATTTTTGACACTTAAGTGTCGAAAATATGGGTAATTTTCGACACTTAAGTGTCGAAAATGGCATCATAATTCGACACTTAGGCGTCGAAACTTAAGGGTATTTTCGACACATACATGTCGAAAAATAAGGGAATCAGAAAAATTCCCAACAAAAGAAGCTTTAATGGCATGGGTTCGTGAAGTATGTAAAAGAATTGGAATGGTGTTAATGATTGGAGGTCCTGAATGGGTTCTCCTTGCTCGTGAACTACTATTCTATTGTCATTTGAGGCCATTTTGCTAGTTGTGTAAGGTTTTGATTTCTTTTGTTTTGGGGTTTTTTAGGAGGGTTTTTGGGGAGGGAGAAGAAGGAGGTGGAGGAGGTGAGGGGTTTGTGAGTGAGGAGGGAAATGTTTTTTTTAGGTTTTTGATTATTTGGTTTTTAAGAAAGAAAAATAGTATTTGTAATATTTTTTGGTTTTAATTTTCATTAAGGGTATTAAAGTAATTTACAATTAATTATTTATTTTTTATTTTTTTGGTATTCAACTAAGCAAAAATTAGTATTCAAAATAGTTGTCCCCATATATATATAGTATTGCAAAATAACTAATAAGCCCCTAATAGAAAAGGGAAAACACTATAGAGGGCATCTCCATTCAAAATTTTGGGTCCCTAAATAAATATACAGAATAATTGATGAATATAGTTTTGAAATAAAATACAAAGTCCCACATAAGAAAGGACTAGTAATTAAATAATAATTAACTATATCAAAAATCAGCCCTCCTCTCAATCTCTATAGCACTCTCTTCTAATCTATATCCCTATAATAAATAGTCAAATGTCAAAACTGCCCCCCCTTACACGATCTCCGAATCTCGTGCTACAACATGCACAAAACCCGTTTCTTTCTATATCGGCACCGGATTTTTCGAGCATATTTTGCCCTCGTTCAAAAAATATGTCCGATACAAGAATGGCAAAATCGAATCCACCATTTTGAACACATGTACAGGAATGTAATTAGCTGTTATTTCTCTTCTTCTCTTTCACCGTATTCAACGAGTGCTTTTTTATCCGATAGGCCTTCCTTCTCGAGCCCCGTTTGCAAAGGCGAAAAATAAACTAAGTGATAAATATAATAAGTATGTACAGTTTGACTAACCTCTACTGCCACTTAGACCTTGTATGGTATTAAAAGCAAGCCATACTAAACGAACAAGTTCCTCCACATTTTGGAAACTGAAGTCGATAACTTTCTTAACGGAAATAATGGCTTCTTTGTTTTGAGACTTTTCGATTTCTTGATTAGCAGCTGCAAACGTGTCGTGTGATTTTTTGGCAGCTTCCATTGCATAATTTACGTCTTTCGTCTGCAAAAACGAACCCATTTTTTATTCATAAAATTTGATGGCAAATGAGAAATCACAAAAAAAAAAAAAAAAAAAAAAAACGAGGCAGATAGCATATAGCTATAATCAACCAAAAACTTACAAAATCGAGAAGCCGAACAAAGTTGGGGCGATTGCGAGGCACTATTAAATGATTTCCAGGGTGGGGCCCACTGCCTTTAGACAAAGTTGCCTTGTCCACGATCGCTAAATTGTTTAAGTTATCAACATCAGAGGCAGAAGACGACGGAGATTCGCCTAAAAAAGATGAGTAAAACAACAGCATCAATAGCAGCATCGATTGTAAGAACTTATAAACCACTATGAAAAGAAAATTTCTATCGAAGAAAAAATATATATTAGGCATATAAAGAATGCAGCTTTTTTTCTGCCGAGTTGATGAAATTATTTAAATAAGTAAAGAATTAGCATACCCTGTGGAACCATCTGCAGACTTGCTTGCAAATCGTGACAAAGTCTCGACGCAGTCGAGCTTTTGCAATAAACTAATCTCAGGTAAGCCACCTCCACGCATTTATAAGCCAACGAAGCAGCAGCCAGTTCGTGGCTTTTTTCATACTCATAGGCACATGTTCTGCAGATTATAGGCGACGATAATACAGATAAAGCTTCACACCGAAGGTAAATTTTCAGGATGCTTTTGCGATACGATTTCACTTAATAAAGTGCGTTTTACGCAAATGCTTATACTTATATCTACTTACTTGCAAAGTTGGGCGGCAGCACCATACATTTGCATCGGACTCATTTCCAAGTGTTTGCTACTAGATCCGTCACAGGCCTCTAAAAGCGAAGCGCAATGAAGAAACTTCAGGGCAGCTTTGAAGTACTCGTAATTACTTTCGGAACCAAATCCGGAATTCTGCACAAGTTTGTGCAAATAAAAAGACAATAAGTAGAGGATACATTTTATTAAGTAACCTACGTTTCAAAAGGTAGAGACAAACGCGCATACAAATTAAGAAGCAACTAAAAGAGACCTTAATTAAATCAGCATGACTTCTAAGTTGCTCAGCTTCTTTCAAAACATCTTCGGCTTCTTTCAAATTAGTCGATGCAGAGACATTCTTAAGAGCCACAGATTGCTCTGCCTCGTTATTGATGAAATTTTCGGTCCCATTTTGAAGGCAGTCAATAGTAGTGTCCCTTAGAGCCTTTGATGTAACACCAACTACAGAAGGAGCGACGGGTCTTGAATCTAGCGAACATCTTTTTAAGGATCCCGATGCATTTTTTTCGGGACATAGTGCACCTTTTTTATCGTTCTGACGCAGTTCAAGGCGCACCTTCATCTGGCCAGAATTTTGCTCAGAATTTCTCGATAATTTCTGATTTTCGATTCTGCTATTACCCGATTTACCAAGATCCCTCTGGCTAACAATTTTACCATTTTTCACAGATTTGAGGCTCGATTCATCAGAGAAAGGATGTTTAGGTACACAATTATTACCCCCAGCATCTGTCTCTTCTTTCGATTTCAATTTATTCTTCGAATCCAACTGGGAATTTTCGTTCTTGGCCCGTGATTTCTTCACGCTGATTACAACAGGGGCATTATTGTCCACCATCACTTGCGAAACCTGATTCGGATAAGGCATTCTCGTGGGAGATGAACAAACTGACTCTTCGGGCGAGCCTTTCACCTTCACATAACTAGCTCTGTTTTTACGCGAGTCAGAAACCTTAGACGAGCTCGAAGTGGCAGCTGTTGACAGCTGTTCGCACCCCAAATCCTTCCTCAGTTTATCTATATCTTCGATTGTGAGCTGCGTTTTCGCTCTCGGTTTCTTTAACTTCTGTTCTTTATCGATTGATGATCGAACTCTAGCTTCACCAAAAGGGCTGCTTTTGAACTCATCTTCGATCTTAGACACTCGAGATTTCTTGTCTCTGTGAAAATCACCATCCCTGCTATCCTCTTGGACCGAAAATTTATCTACTTGATGCTGACTGTACCCGTAATCCTTCAATTTGATTTTCTTTACAGCCACTTCTCCACCATTGCATGTTTTTATACTCGAGGCCTTATTGTCTGGTAAACCCTGTATCTGATCTTTATGTTTCTTCACAGTAATTTGATCTGCTTTAGGTGCACTCTTTTTCTTCACATCCTTCACAGCAGCCTTATTAGGCAAACCACTATGGCCGACCATGCCTAGGTTCGCATTCCCATGTACATCATGCACAGCAGATTCTTTCTTGATTTTTTTCCTCACATTTGCATCATCTGCAAGATATTAAAATGTATCCGTAAACAAAGAAAACTCATAATTAAGTCATAGAACACAAAAAGGAATCACAGAGATATAGAAAATCACACACCTCCTCCAATCACATGCTCGCCTTTCCGTTTATTAGATTTTGCTAAACCAATTGACGGCTTATTCGCGAGTTGCGAGTCGGATTTATTTGCAGCATTTACACCTGCAAGAGCTACCTTACCCTCCTTTGAGATACCGTTTTTTACGGGCAGCTGCTTTTTACCAATAATACTACGAGCTGGATCGCTCGTGCTTACTATATCCTGTTTTGCTTTCAGTTTCTTCTTGTTCATTTGATCAGAAGCAAAGTCGTGGTGGTTCTGATCGAAATGAAGGGCACTAGCTGGAATTACTCCAGGCAATGTTCCATCAACGTGCCCTTGATTGTGATGTTGATTATCGGGGACATGAACTAGAAATAAAGCATGCGTAGCATTTGTAGTATCGTCTTGACTAATGTCGCAGCTATTCATTCCTGGACTGAAGATTAGTGAAACTGTGGTCAATTTCAGCAGGTTTATTGCAGTTGACGATGAGAGAGGAGAGAGCACGGAACAGACTCGCACTTTATACTTTATTAGAACAAACAACTCTTTCCGTAAATCAGATGCCGCAATTAAAGTTTTAAGTTGACAATTCACATGCATAATTCATAGGGGAGACATTTAGGGGGTCGTTTGTCGAAAACATTGCATAATAGCACGGGGATTTTTTAGCAATTCAATACAACACATGGGTACTAAATGAAATAAACTCCAAATTTAAATGACAATAAAAAAAAAGTAAAACAAAGGTGCTTAAGGAAGAAACTTACAGCCAGTCTAGCATGCTGCAGACCCACTTATCAGGCAGTTGATCTGCACTTCTACCGTTTGGCAGAAGCCGCCACTTCTCACAACGATCACATCCAACCCAATTTTCCTCTATTAAAACTGGGGCAGGGGCAGGGGCAAGAGCAGGGTCAAGAGCAGGAGCAGGGGCAGGGGCGGGGGTAGGGGCAGGGGCAGGGGCATCTCTAGGCTCTGCTATCTGTGCCTCAAAGTAATTTTGATTACTCGATCTCTCCTTCAATTTATCAACATGTGCGGATTTTACCTTAACAGTGTCGAGATTAAAATTCTTTGGCATGGCAACAGAAGGCCTCTCCGATAAATGCTTCGGATTCTCCATACGCTCTAAACTCGTATGCACCACATCTTTCTGGATTACACGAATTTTACCATTACCTGTTTTAGATGCTAACTTTCCCATACTTTGATTTCCTTTCGACTTCTTTTCACCTTCAAAAGATAACCCTTTTACCGTGTGAGGAATTCCGAACCCATTGTGCTCACCAGAAGTAGAATTCAAACCAGATTTCAGAACCATGGATTTTTTAACTCCTTCACCTTCTGAGTTATCAGAATAAGCTTTTAATGAAGCACAATTTCCTTTATCTAGGCTCCTGCTACCTTGGCCATGATCGACTGAAACATCCTTTGTGGTATTTGCTCGATGCTTCACAGTTTTCTCCACAGAACTGCATTTCGATTCCAACTGCTCAATCTTGCCACAACTTTGGTCAAAAGTATGTTCAAAAGAAGCATACTTAACCGAATCACCAGAAACTGCTCTGCCTTTCACCTTATCCTTGCTTCCTTTCCTCTTTTTCACTTGAACATCATTTTCCGACTCCATTACTGTATCAGATATAGGTCTGCAGTTTGCGTCAATGAAAGGCCGCGCATTGCACTCCAGAGCTTTACCGTCCAAACTTTTTTGCTTGCAAGAACTGGGACCCGCAGTAAGTCGTTTATCTTCTGATTTGTCAAGGTTTTGTCTTTTATCAACGAACTTCGTTTTGTTCCCACTATTATTCAGAAACTTAATAGAAATGGCAGAACTCCTCTGTGCAGTTTCGTGTTCTCTTTCTACTTCATACCCTGTTTCTTGAACTAAGTTGAGCAAATCTTCACAAAGAGGCGAAAGCAGCAAGCCACCACAAACTGGGACAGCTGTCATGATCTGACATAAATACAACATATCATCAAAGTAGAAACAACTTCATTTATATCAGAAAGAAGCTTTACAAACAGAAATAAATACCAAAACAAGGGCATATGGTATCGAAGTTAGTCCATCAAATAAATGCAAAGTTAAAACGAATCATACCTCGAGAATGTTACGAGGAGATTCATTAGGACTTGACACTAACCCATCGCTTTCATCATGACTATATCCCTCTGACGAAGACGGGGATGTAAGCCCCAAATTGTATATCTCCGCATTATACTTTGCCACCCTTTCGGGTCCCATTTTAATGCGAACCTTCAGTGGATTGCCAGATTTACTTGAAGGAAGTTCTACTTTTTCAGGACAAGCCTCGGCAACATTTTCAGACAACAAAGTTGCCTTTTGCCTGATTGAAGAACCATCAACTGTTGTTTTCGAAGTTTGTGATATGTGCATACTAGGACCCTGTGTGGTAACATTGGCCATAGAGCTTAGTAACTGAAAGCTCACCACACACACACGTATGAACCAGATATAGATCGAAATGTGCCCGTATATACCTCTGGAAATAAATTAGGAGATTTCGGCAAGTGGTGATTTTGAACTCCCTGTGGAGATTTCGGGTGCGACCAAATCGAAGAAGAGCGCTGATATGTGGGTAAAAACGAGCCATAACCACCAAATTTTGACCCTGCAAACCAACAAAAAATGAATTCATGTGCTATCATTTCCGAGTAGGTGCGAAAAGAAGAAGTAATGGGATTGTTTATCCACTCACCCAGATTTTCTGCAGAAACTCCCCCTTCAAAATCTTTCTGAAGATGCCCCAATATACTTTGAACTTTGTCTCCCTTTTGTGCACAAGATCCGAACAGTAATTAATATTCGTAAGTACAGATAAATATGATTAAAAAAAATCCACATTATGAAGGAATGCATAATCTAGAGCGTAACAAGATGAATAGTTACAATATGGATTGCTTAATTAGTTGTTTGGTCCGGGATCACAATATAACATATCAAGGCAGAAAAAATGGCAACGAAACTCAGTTTAGTCTATGCTCTATAGCAAAACAGATTCTGTCACATAAGCCGTACATTTTTATCGAACTCACACAACAATTATTCGTCATCCATCAAACTCGTCTTTATTATGCATCCCATATGATCAAAAAACACTAAAATTCACTTCTGAATACTTTATAGAGTTCACTTCACAAATAACACAAAACAGATCACATTTTTTTTTTCGTCGAGCAACAATTAATTTATCGAGAAGTGTAGCAGAAACTCATACAATGTAAGAGAGAGCTATGTCAGGGTCAATGGTTATATCATCCTTGTAGAAGCAAGTCTCTCCTTCTTCCAGCTCAGGCTCTTGAGTCATCTCTGCACCACTTTCCCAAACCCCAATACCAAGAAAAAATAGCCTGAGACTAACCCTAAAACCTCCCCCAAAAAAAAACCCTCAAAATTTCCCAAACCCAAACCCTGCCTGTATCCTAAAATCCAACATAATCACTCCCCCAATTCAAAAAAACCCAAACTTCAACCCGGCAAAATACTCCCAAAACCCACAATAACCCACCGGAATTTCCCCCCAAATTGTTCAAAATCAAAAACCCTAATCCCAAACTCTAGTTGATCACCCCCAACGTGTAAATTAACAGACGTGTGTATTGAATTTATTCGTGCATACGCCGATAAATTAGTGAATGTAATTTCCCCAGAGAATCTATTTCGCAGCCAAGGAAAGAGCAACGATCGAAGCGATTCTGAATGCGGATGCTCTTTTATTTTTTTTGTGGTTTTTTTGTGGTGTATGTATGTATATGTGTATGTATATTTTGTGTTTTGATGAACACAGACACCATATGGAGGTGGGGGTGGGGGGTGGGGGCGGAGGGGGGCGGAGGGGTGTTGAGGTCTTTTCTTTTTCTTTTCTTTCCTTTTCTTCCCCCTCTTAATTTCTCATATATAATTACCTCCTTAATTATAATAATAATAATAATAATAATAATAATAATAATAATAATAATAATAATTAACTATTAATTTATTTATTTTTATTATATATATAAATAAATATATGCCAAAAAAAAAAAATCAAAGTATATATACTCTTTTTTTTTTGAGGAAAAAGTATATATACTCTCATTGCTAATAATGTGAATCAAAAGGGTTGAGTTTTAGCAAATTCTTAAACCTCTTATTATTGTTTGTAATTGATTAATGTTATATTGTTGTATTATTAAATTTAAGTAGGGTTTATTTTTTTATATATATATTTTTTTTTTTTTTTTTTTAGTGTGTGGGGCGCGTGAAAGTAGGGATTTTTGTTGAATGATATTTACATATGTAGGCCTTGTAGAAAATGCAAGTATACTTTGCACCTTGAAAAATATGTAAATATGATACTTACCCCTCATAATATTATTTGTTGCACTTACATCCTTAATCTGCATTTATAATTTTAATTTTTAAAGGTAAAATGGGATCCAATTATTTTCTATTAATTGAAGAAAGATCAATATTTTGGATCCTCAAAATTGTGCAAATACTATTTAGATGGAAGTGTTAAAAAGAAAAATATGAAATCAATTAATTTATTAGAGTAGTTAAAAGAAAGTTATGATATACGTACTTTCCAATTTTCAGAGTCGGCAAACTTATGGTTACGATCTTTGAACGTTTACGACACGTGTGCAGATTGGCATAAGTTCTCAACTAATATTTGAATATCTTCATTTATTATATCTAACTATGATGTGCCTGATCTTGTACGTGCAAAGTTTAGACGTCCAAAAATATTGATCGTAAGTTTATCGATTGTAGAAAGTAGAATATCGATAATCCATGTTCTTTAACTATTCTAATAAATTAATTAATATTTTTTTAATTGTTACGTCCGATATATTAGAGGGACAAATATGCAAATATAACTTGAAGGGTAAATATAAATAAATTAATAATTTATTTATAGGTAAAAAAAGTGTAAGTATTAGTATATACTATATAGCTCATATATCAGGGGTGAAAATGTAATGAAAAAAATAAAAACAGTATAAATATATTATATATGGAGAATGTGGATATGAGCAAATCCAGCAAGATAAACTACATTTCTTTAATTTATGTATATTTTTGGGCTTTATTCTTTATTTAATTTAATGCAGTCAATGATAATATCTTGACAATGAACAATCCACTTCTGAGATAATAAAGTTGACCTAATTTATTGTGTTTATATTCAACAATAATCAAAGTTGATATTTCTGAAATATATTTATTAATTATTAGAGATTGATATACTTTAATTCCACGTGGAATTACAAGGTCAAGTACTTATTTTAAGACAAATGGAGTAGTTAATAATCACTATATCAGTACATCAAGTGGGAAAATTATAATTTTTGTCCCTCAAGTTTACCTAGATTTCACATTTGGTCCTCCATGTTCACAGGAAGACTTATTTAGCCCCTCCCTCGTATTTCAATAATGTAACATTTTTTGTCATTTTCCGTTAATTTTCGGTTAGTACTAACGGAATGGAGCATGTTTTCATCACTCTTTTAACTGACGGACTAACAATAAATTGACGAAAATGACAAAAACTGTCGAATTGTTGAAATATAAGGGACCGGATGTGTTTTTTGTGAACACGGGGACCAAATGTGTAACTTGTGCAAACTTGAGAGGTGAAAACTGTAATTTTTTCTTACAACAAGTGGACATTTATTGGGAAATAGAAAATGTCAAATGCATGTTTTTGGGACACATGTTTGTGTGGGTAAACATAACATATTGTTTGCATATTTTACCAACATGTTTTATTTATTTGCACATTTTACCCATTTTAGCATATAAGTTAGCAAAATTGTGTTAATTTCATCCTTACACTCCCAACATAGTAAATTCATATAAAAATCATATTAGATATCCTAATTTATAGTATTTAATGAATAAAATAGTTTATTTTCCTCTTTTTAGTTATTACTCACGAAATTAAGTACAAAAAATCGAGTTACTACTAATAATAGTAGTTAGTTACGTTTACACTAGTTAGTTACGTTTACACGTGGAATTCAACTTTTTTGCCGATTTAAATAAATCTAGATTTTAACAATTTGATATGTTAATTGATTGAATACGGACAAATAGCACGGAGATAAATCGAGTTTTATCTATCTTAGTGTTGCCGATTTTATATATAAATATTTTATAGGTCAAACTTGTAACACGTAGCTTGCTAAGTGAAATTTACATCGTTGTAATTTGTGTTACATTGCAAGAAAATGAATTTTAACTCATGAAAATTGCATAACATTATTTCAACTTTGTTTTATTTTGATAACTAAGCAAAAATAATGAATTTATTTATTACCAATTTGAATTCTTTTTATTTTTTATTTAAAAAAAGAAATAGTGAAAGCATTGCGTTCAAGAGAATGCTGACTTGGCAAAAGGGAATCTTTCAGGAAAATAAGGTGGTGCGGGACCCACCTAATAATTTCTCTCCTCTCAAATATACATACGCACGAAAATGATTTTATTTTATTTTATTTTATTTTTTTCTCCAATAAAAATATTCAAACCGGGAATATTTAGGGCTAGGGCTAAATTTTCTCGTTCTCTACGAATATTCCCGTTGATTTTCGTTTACAACTAACCTGAATTCCCCTCAATTACTTGAAAGTTTGCACATTTTGCATTGGGTACCAATTTTTATCATCAATTAGGTCTTAATTTTGTACCATTTCATAGTTTCGTTTACCATTTTGTTTTGTTTTAGTTTTACCGTACAATTACAGTTTTTTTTTTTGTAGATTCGAAAGGGGTCGTGTTTTTTGTTTCAATCAATTTATAGTTTAAGGAGTGGCATTTGATATTTCAATTAAAATTCGTGGCATTCAGCTTTATGGGTTGGGTTTCTGTAATTGTTGCTTGAAATTGTTGTTTCCTTGTGAATCTTGTATCGCAAATGTTTGGATTTTCTTCTGGGCAAGTGTTCATTTGGGAAATTTAGAATTTTCAAAGAGTGATTTTTTCTTGGCATGGATTATCCGCGAGAAAGTGGTATAGTGTTGATTCCGACCCGTTTTGTATGGCCTTATGGTGGGAGAGCTGTGTATATCAGTGGCTCGTTTACTGGGTGAGAGTTAACAGTTGATTTCAAGCTTATGTAGTACTCTGCTACAATTGAATTTCCTCATTTTTTTGTTATAATTTTTGTTTACTAGTAGTGGTGTGCGCATGCTAATTTTTATTTTAATTGGAAAAGGTGGACTCAATGGCCAATGACACCGGTTGAGGGTTGCCCTACTGTGTTTCAAACAATTTGTAGCTTACCTCCCGGTTATCACCAGGTTGGATTTGTACTTTAAATGATTTTCTGTGATTATTTATATTGACCAAATGAGAATACGCGTTTCTACATACATGAATTTGATCTGATGTTTTGCTGTTAGTGATCAGATGATAGCTGAGTGGCAAACTAGTTAGTAATTAATTGATATTTCCGAGAGCTTATATATATTCTCAGTTTGCCGCGTGTTTGAAGGTGGCATTTGGTGTGTTTTGCACATCAATTATTCAATCTTGATCACATGAGAATCGTGTATAAACGCATTGATACTTATTAAGATAATTATTACATCTCTGTTTTCATTATGGTCTACTTGTTTTTTTCCGCTGTCTGATTTAAATTATGTTGGCCTTTCACATTTGATGTTTCAGACGTTGTGTGATAATGAGAAATAACTATTTTACTTGTTCTAGAGAGACTTGAATTTTAGATGCTAGTGTAATGTAGCAACCGTTAGGTATTATGCGTGACAACTGTTAAGATTGTTTTTGTCTTTAAGGCAGAACGAATCTTAAGTAAATATACATGCTAAGGAATTATTAGTTAGTGAATTAGAAAGGGGTTTACGACATATGTTGAGTTTTGAAATAGGGTTTGACAATGTGGGGCAGAGAAGTATCATTAAGTCGGTATAAATGCAATAAATGCCTTTTATTCGATTAAATGTGCGGAAATTAGGTGGTAATAAGTTGATTTATTTTAGGAAATTTGCTGTAATTAATACAGTATATTATTAGTCCAGATCGGGCAATTTAAACAAGTGGAGGATGCATCATGCAAAGTCCAGTGGCATTCAGTTTTGTTTGTTGACCTCAATTTTCTTGTCTATCTTGAATTACTCCGTTCTTATTCTCCCTCAATAGTGTTCACTTCGTTAGAACAGGTTCCTTGTTTGCCCATGTTTGAATTGGGGAACGAAGTCTAAAAAAGTGGAATTCTAGTATACTTCTAAACTTTAGAACTGAAAAGTAGTGACTGGGATCTACTGGGAGTATATTACTACTTTAATGGGAGCTCATTTTTGAAATATAAAGTTACATACTGAAGGATGGGCCATTATCTTCGGAAATTCCAATAAGGAAATATGAGTGTTCAATTGTGAATGAAGTAGTATACAATCATCAGAACTTTTTGCATGTAACTATGACAGTTGTTTCTATTGTAATTTTTAACCCATTAGCTGAAGAAGTCAATCTTTAATTTTCCGATCACTTTTCCCCAGATGTGAAGTTAGGAACCAAAACACACATATTTGTTCCTTATTAGACCATGTGATGTAAGTTGGATGAATATTCTTAAGAATGGAGTGTTTAAGAAAAGTCAATTTGTACATTACTTGCAAAAAGATCTGGAGTGTTTAGTTTTTATCTCTCGACAATGATTTTCGAATTCTCTATCATACTCTTGATACTTCATTTGCAGTACAAATTTGTGGTTGATGGTGAGTGGAGGCATGACGAGCATCAGCCTTTTATCAGTAGTAACATTGGGATAGTGAATACTATACTTTTAACTAGGGAATCGGATTTTCTCCCTGCAATGCTAAACCCACAAGTGCCACCCTCAGTCCCTGGTTCCAGCATGGATGTGGATAATGAAGTCTTTCAGCGTGTGGTATGCCATTGCTGCATTCATATATAGATTATTTATTAATTCTTTATTATTGCTATGTTTTTAGCTATATGTCTCAAATGCCTTGAATTTTTTTTAAAAAACTATCATTTTAACTATATGTCTCCCAATTTCAATCATTTTCCTAGTGCTCCAATTGAGCACGTGTGTGTAAAAATCTAGGAATAAGTGGCTTGTTTCGTTTCTCTTATTAGCTTTATTTGGGTAATATGCCTTTTAACTATATTATTGCTATTTGCAAATGGCCATAAACTAAAAGTAGATTGGAATACTCCTTAAATGTGTTAAAAACATCCGAGACTGTTTTGTTCCGAGAAAAAGTGCTTGAAGCCTTGAATTAATTGGGAACTGAATCTGAAAAAAATGTGGTGTATCATTAAACTGATTTCAAGAATTGTCAAGTCTAAAACTTTCTGATATTGCTACTATAGTGTCAGATTATTTTGTGTGCTTCCTTGCTTCCTTTAGTGACGAGTCACAGCAAAAAAAAAAAAAAGAGTTGGTTTACATTATCCACTATTTGTCATCATCATCACAGGTTCGAGTGACAGATGGTACATCGCCCGAGTCTTTTCCAATAATATCAGAGGCAGATTTAGAGATTTCTAGGCATCGTACTGCTGTGTTTTTGTCAACACACATGGCCTATGAGTTGCTTCCTGAATCTGGGAAGGTTAGGATGATTATATCTTATTCTGATCCTATCTTTTTACATTGATTTTCTTTGTCTTTACTTTGTTTGATTGGTTGAATTGTTTGCAGGTTATCGCTTTGGATGTAGACCTGCCCGTAAAGCAAGCGTTTCATATTCTGCACGAGCAGGTACCTTAATTAATGTTTTTGGGTCTTCATCTCACTTTTCTTTTTCCAAGTTCTATAAGAATCCGTGCTCTTGTAAGTAATCTGCCCCTACCAAGTCGTGTGTGGATAATCTATAGTCCACACACTCTTCTGATGCTTTGTTCAAATGCTTTCCCATTTTCTACTTCTAAACCAGCAAATTCTTTCCAGGGGATCTCGACGGCACCTTTATGGGACTTCTCAAAGGCAAAATTTGTTGGAGTTCTCAGCGTATTGGATTTTATTTTGATTATGAGAGAGGTATACACTGAGCTAATGTCATTACTTTGTAATGATTCATTTTTCTTCAGCATATATATCCTCCTTTTACTGAGTTTTATTTTGCACATTATTCATATGTTTGCTTATCGTTATGTGGAGAGGAATTACTCAAATCCAAATGGAACCCAAATCCTTTCTTTATTATCGAGCATATTTTTCATATGATTGCTGCTTTATGTACTGTTAAGTGTTGAAGTATGTTTTTTGTCACACTGTGGCAGCTTGGCACTCATGGGTCCAATTTGACCGAGGAAGAGCTTGAGACACACACAATATCTGCATGGAAAGAAGCAAAACTATATCTGAGCACTCAAGTTAATGGGCTAGGAAGTGCTGTTCCAAGACAGCTTGTGCAAGTAAGTCTGAATACCGATGTGCTGAATGTAACAGCATGTAAATTTTTGCTCTTTAGAAGAGTTTAAGATTTTAATGCTCAAACACGAATAGAATAGGTAACGCGGTTGTGGTTCTAGCTTCTTCCTCATGAACTTCTTCAATGAAACTTACACTAATAAGAAAAAACAAGTAGAAAGCTGGCTTTGTCTGCAATATTTTATGATTGAAAATCTCCTCATTTGTAGGCATTTTCATTTCTTCCTTGTATAATCTGGTATGATCATAATTTACAGAGCATGTGTATCATTTTTTGGGAGTTTAAAGTTGCGGAAAGGCCAACTGTTTAGTAACCGAAGAAAAAGTAGGTTTTATGATTGATTAGGCGACATATGTTATGCTGCGGAAATTCTTGATTTTCGCTCTTGTGGAAATAAATACCTTCTTGATACCCTTTTTTACTTACCTAAATCCGTCTCCGATAGTCTGATAAATAGATTATCTGGTTCTGTTCAAGCAACATTCTTCTCTTATGTTCTCTAAAATTGGTATTCCAATTTAACCTGGAGATGGTATACAGGCTGGGCCAGACGACAGTTTGAAGGAAGTTGCTTTGAAGATTTTGCAAAATGGTGTTGCCACTGTTCCCATTCTTCATTCTTTGTCGTCAGATGCTTCAAACCCACGTCTGTTGCATCTTGCTTCACTTTCTGGAATACTTAAATGTGAGGAAAAATTAACCAACCACTTTTCTATTCGAGTTTATGTCTATGTTAAAACCTCAATACGAGGAATGTAAGAACTTTTCCTATCCTGATATATCGATTTGTCTGTTGCTTTACAGGTATTTGCCGTTTTTTCAAACACTCACCAAGCTCACTACCGATACTTCAGTACCCACTTTGTGCTGTCCCTGTTGGCACTTGGGTTCCAAAAATCGGAGAGCCGAATCGGCAGCCATTGGCAATGTTGAGACCGAGTGCTTCACTTGGTGCAGCACTGAATTTATTGCTTCAAGGTATCTAAAATTTGAAGAACACTTATGAGAGCAATCTTATCTCTATTTCAACCTTATCCTTTCTCCTTCATCTGCTTGCACAGAACTACCAATTTATTTTTTGAAGTATCACTCTCTCCTTGACCATTTAATCCTGTCATCTCCTTGTGATTAACTGGACGAGACCATATTCAAATGGTACCTTTCAGTCTTAGTTCCAAAATGTTCCGGTAGTATTATGCAAGGGAATATTCTTTTTACATGGTATTTTGTCTCGAAAAATCAATTTACATAATGAGGAAAGTTATGACAATTGACAAGAATTCCTACCAGGAGCATATAACTGTTGATGAATTCTGTAATTCAATTTCAGACGTGCAGAAATATTTAGTGAATTGTTTAAGTTGTATTTCATATTTCAGAATTTCAGAATTACGATGTGGTATTCCGACACTTACATAATTTGTTGTCTTTCTTCTTCTGCACAGCACAAGTTAGCTCGATACCAATTGTTGATGATAATGACTCTTTATTGGATGTATATTCTCGAAGGTTAGTATTAAATACTGTACCATCTCTGGCTTGTGAATTATTTCTCGAGACTTGGAGTCTGTTGTCATACATACATTAATTGTATATTTTATTTGGTTTTGCAGCGACATAACTACTTTAGCAAAGGACAAAATATATGCGCACGTCAATCTTGAAGAAATAACTATTCATCAGGTAAGCATATTGTTTTTTAGCCTTACATGCTTGAACAATTTACCTGTATTTCGTACTAAGATGACCCTTTTTGTTTTTTATTTTTATTTTTATTTTTATTTATTTATTTACTATCTCCGTTTTCGTTAATAAAGGCATTGCAGTACAGAGATGACCCGTTTTCGACATACGGGTACAACAATCAAAAGTGTCATATGTGCTTAAGGTCTGACCCAATCCATAAGATCTTGGAAAGACTATCACAGCCAGGTTACCTTTTTTACCCCTCTCTTTTTTCTCTCGTTCGATTTTAAGATATTTCCTTATACTTGACAATGGTTATTTATTCTCTCAGGTGTTAGACGCCTTGTTATTGTTGAAGCTGGAAGCAAACGTGTAGAAGGTATCATCTCAGTGGGTGATATTTTCCGATTCCTTTTGGGTATTTAAATGTCGGGCAAAAAGCAAAAAAAGAAAAAAAAAAGAAAGGCAGTATAAATGCATTTGGCCGATGAAATTCGGCTGAGAAAAGGAGGTCTGAAAACCCTGCTTAAGTCTCCCTTATGTTGTCGTTTGCCGTAAAAAGAAGTGCAGGAGCAGCTAACCGTGTTTCTGCTGCAGAAGATTGGGAAACTAATAAGGGAAATTTTATTTATTGGATAATCGATTAAAAGTCCTTTTTTGATATTTAAAAAAAATTTGTGCACATTCTCTCTTTGTTTGTCGAATTAGTCTTTGTCTTGATTGGTCGATCGCCCTCTCCGTGTGGTGATGCTTTTTTTTTTTTTTTGAATTAAATTGAACTAGTTCCAGAAAAAGGAAAAAAGAACTACAGAACATTTGAATATCCCTTTTATGCTTATTATTATTGTTGTTGAACACAAGAAATAACAATAATTATGCTCTTCTTGAGTTTTATGTATCTCGATTTTTTAGTTCTGGTGCCGAATTTCAATAATCGGTAGTTTCGTTAATTGCTATTACATGCTTTTATAAATTTTTATGATTTTGAAAAAGTTTTTTGAGACAATCCACCAATTTTATAAAAAAATGTGTGTACTATAGTATACAGTTTTTGGTGAATTTGATTGTGAAATAGTTTTTTGGACGTTCCGCCAATTTTACCCAAAATTTGTGTACTTATACTACACCATTTTTGGTGATTTTGATCGTAAAATAATTTTTTGGACGCTCGACATATTTTAACTAAAATTTATGTACTATAGTATACAGTTTTTTGTGATTTTGATCGTGAAATAGTTTTTTGGACGTTGCACCAATTTTAACTAAAATATGTGCACCAATTTATGTACTATAGTATACAGTTTTTGGTGATTTTGATCGTGAATTTTAGTTTTCGATGTTCCATCAAATTTACGCAAAATTTGTGTACTATATAGTATACAGTTTTTGGTGATTTTGATTGAGGAATAGTTTTTTGGACGTTGCACCAATTTTAACTAAAATCTATGTAATATTGTATACATTTTTTTGGTGATTTTGATCGTGAAATAGTTTTTTGGACGTTTCACCAATTTTACTCAAAAATTGTGTATTACAAGTATACAGTTTTTGGTGATTTTGATCTTGAAATTTTTTTATGGACGTTCCACCAATTTCACTCAAAATTTGTGTACTAGAGCATACCGTTTTGGTGATTTTGATCGTGAAAAAGTTTTTTGGGATGTTCCACCAATTTTACCCCAAATCCGTGTACAATTTTTTAGTGATTTTGATCGTGAAAAAGGTTTTTGAGACGATACACCAAATTTATACAAAAAAATGTGTACTGTAGAATGCATTTTTTGGTGATTTTGATCGTGAAATAGTTTTTTGGACGTTCCGCCAATTTTACCCAAAATCGGTGTACTTATAACACATTGTTTTTGGTGATTTTGATCGTGAAATAGTTTTTTGGACGTTCCACCAATTTTTACTAAAATATGTGTACTATAGCATACAATGTTTGGTGATTTTGATTGTGAAATTGTTTTTTGGACATTCCACCAATTTTACGCAAAATCTATGTACTCTAGTATACAGTTTTTGGTGATTTTGATCGTGAAAAAGTTTTTGGGACGTTCCACCAATTTTACCCAAAATCTGTATACTATTGTATACATTTTTGTGGTGATTTTGATCGTGAAAAAGTTGTTTGAGACAATCCACCAATTTTATCAAACATTTTGTCCACTATAGCATACATTTTTTGGTGAATTTGATCGTGAAATAGTTTTTTGGACGTTCCGTCAATTTTACCCAAAATCACCAAAAATTGTATGCTATAGTACACAATTTTTTGATAAAATTGGTGGAACGTCCAAAAAAAAAATTCACGATCAAAATCACAAAAACAGTATGCTATGCACATAAATTATGGGTAAAATTGGTGGAACGTCCGAGAAACTTTTTCACGATCAAAATCACCAATAACTGTATGCTCTAGTACACAAATTTTAGGTTAAATTGGTGGAACGTCCAAAAAAAAATTCACGATCAAAATCACAAAAAACTGTATGCTATGCACATAAATTATGGGTAAAATTGGTGGAACGTCCGAGAAACTTTTTCACGATCAAAATCACCAATAACTGTATACTATAGTAAACAGTTTTTGTGTAAAATTGGTGAAATGTCCAAAAAACTATTTCACGATCAAAATCACAAAAAATTTATACAATATTACATAGATTTTTGTTAAAATTAGTGTAACGTCCAAAAAACTATTTCTCGATCAAAATCACCAAAAACTGTATACTATAGTACACTGATTTTAGGATCGTGAAATATTTTTTTGGTTGTTCCACCATTTTTTACTAAAATATGTGTACTATAGCATACAGTTTTAGTGATTTTAATCGTGAAATAGTTTTTTGAAGGTTGCACCAATTTTAACTAAAATTTGTATACTATATAGTATACAGTTTTTTGCGATTTTGATCGTGAAATTTTTTTTGGACGTTCCACCAATTTTATCCAAAATATGTGTACTATAGCATACAGTTTTTGGTGATTTTGATGGTGAAAAAGTTTTTGGTGATTTTGATCGAGATTTTTTTTTTGACGTTCCATCAATTTTATCCTAAATCTGTGTACTATATAACATACAGTTTTTTGTGATTTTGATAGTGAAAAAGTTTTTTGCAGTTCCATCAATTTTATCCAAAATATGTGTATTATATAGCATATAATTTTTGGTAATTTTGATCGTGAAAAAGTTTTTTGGACGTTCCACCAATTTAACCCAAAATCTGTGAACTATATAGCATACATTTTATGGTGATTTTGATCGAGAAAAAGTTTTTTGCACGTTCCATCAATTTTATCAAAAAATACTAATAGCATACAGTTCTTTGTAATTTTGATCGTGAAAGAATTTTTTGGACGTTCCACCAATTTTACCAAAAATCTGTGTACTATTAGTACGCAGGTTTTGTGATTTTGATCGTGAAAAAGTTTTTTTGACGTTTCATCAATTTTATCCAAAATTTGTGTACTATATAGCATACAGTTTTTTGTAATTTTGATCGTGAAAGAGGTTTTCGGATGTTACACCAATTTTATCCAAAATCTGTATACTATAACATACATTTTTTTGTAATTTTGATCGTGAAAGAGTTTTTGGACATTCAACCAATTTTATACATAATCTGTGTACTATAGCATACAGGTTTTGTTAATTTTGACCGTGAAAGAGTTTTTTGGACGTTCCACCAATTTTACCCAAAATATGTGTACAGTTTTTGGTGATTTTGATCGTGGAAAAGTTTTTTGGATGTTCCATCATTTTTATCCAAAATCTGTGTACTATAGCATACAGTTTTTGGTAATTTTGATCGTCAAAGAGTTTTTTGGACGTTCCACCAATTTCACCCAAAATCTGTGTACCATAATATATACAGTTTTTGGTGATTTTGAATGTGAAAAAGTTTTTTGCACGTTCCATCAATTTTATCAAAAATCTATGTACTATAGCATACAGTTTTGGTAATTTTGATCGTGAAAGAGTTTTTTCGACGTTCCACCAATTTTACCCAAAATGTGTGTACTATAGTATACAGTTTTTGGTGATTTTGATCGTAAAAAAGTTTTTTGACGTTCCACTAATTTTACCCAAAATATGTGTAATATATATAGTATACAGTTTTTGATGATTTTGATCGTAAAAAAGTTTTTTGACGTTCCACCAATTTTACCCAAAATCTGTGTACTATAGTATACAATTTTGGTAATTTTGATCGTCAATGAGTTTTTTGGACGTTCCACAAATTTTATCCAAAATCTGTGTTCTATAGTATACATTTTTTGGTGATTTTGATTGTGAAAAAGTTTTTTGCACGTTCCATCAATTTTATCCTAAATCTTTATATTATTATAGCATAAAGTTTTTGGTAATTTTGATCGTGAAAGAGTTTTTTGGACGTTCCACCAATTTTACCCAAAATGTGTGTACTATAGTATATAGTTTTTGGTTATTTTGATCGTGAAAAAGTTTTTTTGATGTTCCACCAATTTTATCCAAAATCTGTGTACTATATACCATACAGTTTTTGGTAGTTTTGATCGTGAAAGAGTTTGTTGGACGTTCCACCAATTTTACCAAAAATCTGTGTACTATAGTATACAGTTTTTGGTGATTTTGGTTGTGAAAAAGTTTTTTGACGTTCCATCAATTTTATCCAAAATTTGTGTACTATATAGCATACAATTTTTGCTAATTTTGATCGTGAAAGAGTTTTTTGGACGTTCCACCAATTTTACCCAAAATGTGTGTACTATAGTATACAGTTTTTGGTGATTTTGATCGTGAAAAAGTCTTTTGCACGTTCCATCAATTTCATCAAAAATCTGTGTACTATATATATAGTATACAGTTTTTGGTAATTTTGATGATGAAAGAGTTTTTTGGACGTTCCACCAATTTTATCCAAAATCTGTATAATATAGTATACAGTTTTTGGTGATTTTGATCGTGAAAGAGTTTGTTGGACGTTCCACCAATTTTACCCAAAATCTGTGTACTATAGTATACAGTTTTTAGTGATTTTGATCGTGAAAAAGTTTTTTGGACGTTCCATCAATTTTATCCAAAATCTATGTACTATATAGCATACAGTTTTTGGTAATTTTGATCGTGAAAGAGTTTTTTGGACGCTCCACCAATTTTTCCCAAAATCTATGTACTATAGTATACAGTTTTTGGTGATTTTGATCGTGAAAAATTCTTTTGCACGTTCCATCAATTTCATCAAAAATCTGTGTACTATAGTATACAGTTTTTGGTAATTTTGATCGTGAAAGAGTTTTTTGATCGTTCCACCAATTTTATCCAAAATTTGTGTAACATATATAGTATACAGTTTTTGGTGATTTTGATCGTGAAAAAGTTTTTTGTACGTTCCATCAATTCTACCAAAAATCTGTGTACTATAGCATACAATTTTGGTAATTTTGATCGTGAAAGAGTTTTTTGGACGTTCCACCAATATTACCCAAAATGTGTGTTACAGTTTTTGGTGATTTTGATCGTGAATTTTTTTTTTGACGTTTCACCAATTTTACCCAAAATCTGTGTACTATAGTATACAGTTTTGTTAATTTTGATCGTCAAAGAGTTTTTTTGACGTTCCACCAATTTTATCCAAAATCTGTGTTCTATAGTATACAGTTTTTTGTGATTTTGATTGTGAAAAAGTTGTTTGAGACAATCCACCAATTTTATCAAATTTTTTTGCACTATAGCATACAGTTTTTGGTGAATGTACACAATTTTTTAATAAAATTGGTTGATCGTCAAAAAAACTTTTTCACGATCAAATCATCAAAAACTGTATATTATAGTACACAGATTTTGGGTAAAATTTGAGGATTGTCCAAAAAACTATTTCACGATCAAAATCACCAAAAACTGTATGCTCTAATACATATATTTTAGGTAAAATTGGTGGAACGTCCAAAAAAAAATTCACGATCGAAATCACCAAAAACTTTATGCTATAGCACATAACTTTTGGGTGAAATTAGTGGAACATCCGAAAAACTATTTCACGATCAAAATCACAAAAAACTGTATACTAAGTACACAGTGTTTGAGTAAAATTGCTGAAATGTCCAAAAAACTATTTCACGATCAAAATCACAAAAAAATGAATACTATTACATAGATTTTTGTTAAAATTGGTGTAACTTCCAAAAAACTATTTCTCGATCAAAATCACCAAAAACTGTATACTATATAGTACACTGATTTTAGGCAAAATTGGCTGAACGTCCAAAAGACCATTTTACGATAAAATTCACCAAAAATTGTATGTTATAGTACACAAATTTTTGATAAAATTGGTGGATCGTCCCAAAAAACCTTTTCACGATCAAAATCACCAAAAATACAGGTGATGCAATTTGTTTTTGGAGAAGAAAGGGGCAAAAGTGATATAATATGGAAATATGATGACTATTGTGTAATTTATTTTAAGTACAAGGGCCAAAACGGAAGTTATCAGAAATATTTGAATAACTCGAGAAATCTCCATAGATACATCATACAGACATATACATACACGCAGAGAGAAAAAAGGGGAAGAGAGAGAGAGAGAGAGAGAGAGAGAGAGAGTGTGATGGAAGGACTTACAGAAGACGAGAAAAAGGCGCTGAGAGGAAGCAAATTCGCGCCTCTTCCATGTGCACCCAATCAAATCCGATCGCTATCAAGGTTCGTAAACCTATATATACACTACCTATGTATGCATACATTTCAAAATTAAAAAGAAAAATGAGTTCATCAGCCTAATATTCGTTTCGTTGTACACCCCGTTCTTAGGTTTTCTTCGTGAAATTCATTAATGGGGTGTCAATTTTGTGATTAGGGTTTGTTATTCATAGATGTAATTCAGTTGCGCCGCGCTCTATCAGCCTATACAAGTTGATTTCCCACCACTTGTGTAGATATAATATTCAAAATGAGACAGTTGTGTTGTATTTTTCGTAAAACATATGGGCGTCGTTTGGGAAGATTGATAGGATTGATTGAATTGGAAATGATTGCTTACATTGTCCATGATTGTATAACATGTGATTATCTTGTGTTTTGAGATTTATGATAGAACAATCCTTGTGTTGGGTGATGTCCTTCATAGGATTGTGTAATAACATGGTTTGAGGTCGGACTCAATGTCAGACTTGATAATTTCCGTACCCATTTTCCGAGCTTCAAACCACAACCCTGAATTATCAAGTCCTGTCCTTATTCCCAGACGATGCCGCAGGACGGTGTTTGGTACCAAATGCGATATAGTGTAAATGTGCAGATGTAAACATACGCGAATAAATTGAGAAAAAAATAGATTGCCGTAGTTGATAAACGTGTAAATTTAGCTTGTTAGTGGAAGCGTTGATGGGATGATTTTATTACGAATATGTGGTAACTAGGGTTTGGTTATGTGTAGGCAGGCACACCCTGGAGGGCCGATGAAGACGAACAAGGCCGCTGCTTTGGCTAAATTTCTTGAAAGAAAGCTTCAGGAGCCAAATGGGTTGGCTTCTCTGGATCCAAAGCTCGTTGAGTTAGCTGTTAAAGATGCCAAACAAACTGTTCAATGCAGTATGATTTCTATTCTCTTATGTGACATGAAAGATGAGTTTTATGGTCGATGTTTGCCGTTCTTTTGGGTGTTTTGTTGTTTCAGTTAGCAAAATTTTATGGTTTCAATGACTTTGGTGATGTGTTTTGTTTTGGCAAAATCAAGTATTTGTTTGGAACTTCGCCGATGAAATGTCTTTCCTATGAACATCTTGGTAAATGGTAATGCTTACAGAAACTTCTCCTTGTTTAGGGTATTCAGAAGGATTGTAGTTTATCTATTCAATGTAGACTTTTATTAATTGGATGAAACTGTTGGTCAAAGCCATCCATAAGACTTGCCCGTGTCTGAATTTCTTTTATTGGGTTCTTTAGTAAATCTATAATTCTGTCTGATCATATTTTGCTACGAATGCACAAGAAGAGGGAAGAAGGCGCGTTTCAGAAGAAGCGCGGCGTTTTTAAATCAAGCAAACGACACTGTTTCATTGTAGTCTTTGAATAAGTAGGGCGACGTCTTGTCAATGCCACGTGTTGTTTTAGCTGAGATTAGTTGTTGAATTCGTTTAGCATTTAATTGGTTTAGCATATTTGTTCTGCTCATTTGTTTTCTTCGTTTCAAATCGTATTGTTTTGTGCTTTTCTTTCTCACGAGCACCTCTCATTGAGCTTACCCTTTGGGTTGATCTATAGTGTTTCTAGCTACGTCGCCAGCGAGGTTTGGCACCGCAGTGGTGACAGATAGGCTTGCATGTAACATATTCCCATAGACATGATCAATATTTCAAAAGATACCTTACTCGTGTTTTCTTTTTGCAACTCATTTCACCTTATTGCCGACCAACTATACAGTTATAAATGGGACTTTATGGATAGCATCTATAGTTTGTATTCAATTCTTTGTTTTGTAACTTTTTGTTTCTTGTTGAGGGTTTGCGTTCAAACACGGTTCCGATCATTGCTTATTAAGACATTGAATTTATTCATCCTTATGTAATTATTCAGGTGGAACTTCGACATCAGGAAGAATTATTCATCATGTCAATACTTTTGGAGACTATGAGGTACATTTTCATATATATATATATATATATAATATAACCTTAACAGTTAACAACATACTGTTATTGGCGCCCGTTTTGTGAATTTTACAGGTCGAGGATGGAGAAGAGAATACAGAGACCTCTGTTTTAAAGAAACATAAGAAGAAGAAAAAGAAAAAGAATAAAAAGAACAAACAAAAGGTATGCTGTTTGCTGAACATAACATTCATTTTAACAGTTTTTATATTAGAATTATAGAGATCTCCATAACTTTTGCAGAAATTGGAGGATGATATTTACGATAAATCGAAAAGACCGAATAAGAAGTTGAAACTATGACGTATTCGAATTTTGTCAACCCCACTGATTTATCGACCACATGCATTTGAGGCTGAATTCGTAATTCACCATGGAATGTTAGAATGTAAGATTGTCGAGACTCAGTTTACACATATGTCCAAACTGAGTCTCGACAATCTTACATTCTAGAGTAAGTCGTTGGATTCTGTGACTCGGATTATTCAAGGTATAAATGCTGGCAGTCAATTGCTTGCATCAAAAGGCGAAATCCCTCGCCCCTTGACAGTGAATTACTTAATTACTGGAATAGTTAGTCCTGAACAAAATTAACCACTTTGTTCGAAATGTATCATTTGCCATGAATTTAAGGCTGTGATTGGAATATTCTTTCTATACTACATATTTGAGTCTTGAAAAATAGATTAAAAGATTTGAACGTTTCAATGGTTTTTAGCAAAAAGTGTGTGCTATATAGTATACGATTTTTTGTGATTTGCTTGACTAGTCAGAAATTGGTTAAATAATTCTTAGATGATCTATTTTTGACTACTTATCAATAAACATCTTCTATACTATATGTTGGTGTTAAAAAATATTAAAAGAAAAGTTTCAAACTGCAACGATTTTTCCCAAAAGCCTACATTATACTATATTTTTTGTGATTTTGCTTGACTATTCAAAATATTAAAAATAAATTTTAGAGTATCAATTTCTTGACTTCTTATCAATAAACATCTATTATATTATATATTTGAGTGTTAAAAAATATTAAAAAAAGAGTTTCAAATTTCAACGATTTTAAGCAAAAAGCGTGTGCTTATTATAGTATACGATTTTTTGTAATTCGCTTGACTATTCAAAAATTAGTTAAATAATTTTTAGATGTTATATTGCTTGACTAGTTATCAATAAACATCTTCTATACTATATATTTGAGTGTCATAAAACATTAAAATAAATATCTTCAAATTTCAACGATTTTTTGCAAAAACCGTACGCTACAATATACGATTTCTTGTGATTTAGCTTGACTATTCAAAAATTAGTTAAATGACATTTTGATGATCCATTTTTTGACTGTTTATCAATAAACATCTTCTATAATATATATTTTGCTGAGCCGACTCGACAAAAGCTCAAACTCGAATTCGAATTTTTCAAGCTCGAGCTTGCGAGCTCGAGCTTTATGAAGAGTCGAGACCGAGCTCATTTTCAGTTGTTTGTGAGCTCGCGAGCCGGCTCGTGAGCTTATTTTATTTATTGATTTATTTATATTTTTAATATAAAATAAATAATAATTCATATAAATAATTTAATGGTTATTTTTTTTATTATAATTTATAATAATAAATTTCTAATAATATTAATAAAAAATAAAAATAAAATGGACAAAAAGGCTCAAGCTCGAGCTCAACAAGCCAACTCGCGTGAGCTCGAGCTTGCCAAAACAGTCAAGCTCGGCTCATTTGTACCCCTAGTTTAGGTGTGGTGCGTTTTTTTCTTTCAGTGTGCTTTTTTTTAAGTGTGTTTTTTCGGTGTAGTGTATTTTTTTTAGTGTGTGTTTACGGTGTAGTGCATTTTTTTTGAGTGTGTGTTTATGGTGTAGTGCATTTTTTATTTATTTTTATTTTGAGTGTGTATTTTCGGTGTAGTGCATTTTTTTAGTGTGTGTTTACGGTGTAATGCTTTTTTATTTAGTGTGTGTTTTTGGTGTAGTGTGTTTCTTCTAGTGTGTGTTTATGCTGTAGTGCATTTTTTTAAGTGTGTGTTTTTGGTGTGGTGTGTTTTTTTTAGTGTGTGTTTTTTGTGTAGTACGTTTTTTTTAGTGTGTGTTTTTTGGTGTAGTGTGTTTTTTTAGTATGTGTTTATGGTGTAGTGCGTTTTTTTTATGTGTGTGTTTTTGGTGTATTGTGTTTTTTTCTTAGTGTGTGTTTTTGGTGTAGTGTGTTTTTTATTTATTTTATTTTTTTGTATTTTGAGTGTGTGTTTATGGTGTAGTGCGTTTTTTTTGAAGTGTGTGTTTTTTGTGTATTGTGTTTTTTTGAGTGTGATTATGGTGCAGTGCGTTTTTTTTAGTGTGTGTTTTTTGTGTATTGTATTTTTTTTAAATGTGTTTTTGGTGTATTGTGTTTTTTTTAGTGAGAATTTTGGTGTAGTGTATTTTTTATTTTTGTA